AATATTCCAATCTAATGGGTAAGATGTTCAAACCGTTTGACCTAAACGGTCGAACCGCTTACCCAAAAACCGGTGAAAAGAACGGTTCTGTTTTCGGGTCGGTTTTCAAAACCTTGTTCCAATATAATGGGTAAGATGTTCAAACCATTCAAACCATTTGACCCGGGCAGTCAAACCACTGACTCATAAATCGGTGGCAATAACGGTTCCATTTCTAGGTCGTTTTTAAAACCTTGTTCCAATCTAATGAGTAAGATGTTCAGATTGTTTGGTGGCAATAACGGTTCCATTTCCGGGTCGTTTTTAAAACCTTGTTCCAATCTAATGGGTAAGATGTTCAGATTGTTTGACCCGGAAACCGTTGGCTAGAACGATTCTGTTTTCGAGTCGGTTTTTAAAACCTTGAAAAAAACTTTAGAACTCAAATTCCAATATGAAATTAAAAAAAAAGACAGAAATGGAAAGTTTTGAACAAATCATCACATTGAGGTAACAAATCCTACAATAGTGAGGATATACATCATGCAAAGGAAAGATACCTTTGAGTTCTGGAGATTCACTGGTTGCAAGTTATTTTGACATAGTTGCTGCTTGGCTAGACAATCAACAAGCAATAGGAAATGGTTTCCACTTTCCAAGTAAACATTGAGAAGCAATGGCCAACCCATGCAAGCAATTCTGATCCATAACGGGTGTGACAAACATATTGTTTTGCTGTCCTACTTTACATGGATTAACCATTTCCAACTGTGGATTCATGAGGAAAGTATGATTCTAAGGATTGGGATTTGAATAGTGATGGTGTGCGATCCAATCACTCCTAGCTGGCGATTGCATGGCTCCTGGGTGGTACCTGAGATGGGGAAGATGAGGAATTCCTGGGGGACTTGTTTGGCGGGAACACTCCATTGCTTAAGTTAGAGCTCTGTGAAAAATGCAAGGAGAGTAAAAAGGGGGCTAAGAGTGCAGATAGCGCGGGTATCAAGAGATTACCTCTGCCCTTTGGGATTGGGGCTACTTATAACAGAACTCTGTCAAATCAGGCCCACCTGCCTCTGTCAAGGCAGGTATAACCGCCATTGTCATCCTGCCGCAGCCGTTACAGCCAGGGCTGAGGTGGCACGTGCGGGGCCGTCGTTGCAGGGTACATACTTATCAGATGTAAGACATCTTCCAGAGGTGGCGGGCACAACACTGTCTGACAAAAGACGTGGTCACAGTCTCTAGGTTTGTCAGGTACAGTTGTCAGGCAGGAGATCTTCCTGCGATATGCCGAACTACTCTTCCGCGAGCTACCCCGCAAGTGGCGAGTTGCCCGTGGCAAGTTCTTCCGAGCTGCCTGTGGCGAGCTACACCAGCGACACTGATTCGAAGTGTCTCTACCTCGGGGTGTTCATTTTTGGAAGTGGCCTAGAACCTACTGGGAGGAGCTCGGGCATTAGGAAAAGTCAGGGGGCCCGAGCTCAGAGGTAGCTCGGAGCGCCTCAGCCTTGGAGAGAAGGTGCAAGCCAGACGACTCTCGACGAGTAGCCTAACCCGCCGAGTTGCCAGATTAAACTCGGTGAGCCCTTCCCGCCGAGTTGCAGCTATGCTTGCTATGGTGTCATGTTGAATCATCACTTCAGCAAGATCACACCCACGTGTCCCCGTGCTACGAGATCGGACTAAATCATCCTCCATCAAATAGCTTGACTCAAACATCCAAATAAAGGATTAGAATTTAGAACAATGAGGTGCATTATGGGGACCCTGAATTGCAATGGAGCAATGCATGTATGGATTTCAAAACCATAAGAAAAAGATGAACAGATTTTTTTCCAAAGCAAATAGATGGCATCAAGAAATCCTCTTATACTCCTTTCTCGTCTGTTACTTTCTTCACTCTTCAACGACTTCAACGGTCGATTGAATGCAACCGTTGAGGGATTGAGACTCGACTCTCAAATGGCGAGAATCAGTTTTGAACCATCTTGCTTTATGTTTGGTACGGTGGGTTATGGGTATTTATCGGAATGACGCCATTTTAAACATTTTCTGTTATTGTTATTTGGTTGGTTTTTCTGCGAGAGTTTCAAGAAAATAGATGCCATTAAATGGACCCAATGGTCTAAATTACCCTTACTTGCATATTTTGAGGTCCAATGGTTGATTTTGGATGAAAATCACATCCAACGGTCAGAATGACTGGTATAGGGATGTATTTGTGGGTGGTCTTTATTTGTTACATTCAAATAAAAATTGCCACCACCAAAAATAAAATTGCAAAAAGTAATAGATCATAGGGTCGACGACAACGAGAAAAAGAGCAGAGATGATCTGTGAACAGGGGAGATTTATGGGAAGAAGTAATAGATCTGAAAAAAAAAATGTCAATATGAACTAATGTTCCTCATTTCCTGTCATAGGGTCATAAGAACCATCAATATTTAAAATACAAGCTCTTGACTGAGATGTATTATTGGATTCACACCACTTGGTAAGTCTCTGCTTTGTTTACTATTTCTTGTCAATATGCAACCTTTGTCCAATAGAAAGAGCATTGTTTCTTTATTGTTGGTGGTTCTTATCGATTTGATCCATCCCGAAAAGACATGGTGTAATGGTTGGTTGGTTACCCTATCTGGATTGAACCCCACTTGTCCTTTATACCATATTGCTCTAGCGTATGGACAAACAATGAATACATGATTTGACAAAAGATGCAAATTTGATCTTCTTTACTGATCCAACGTTTGCTTCCCATAGAAGCTTCCAATCAAAATGAGGTGAGGATGTTGTAGAGGGGATTCTTGTTGAACAGATAAGGATAGACTGATTGAACATCTGAGCTCATTTGGAAGAGCTCAAAGATCCAAATGAATAAATTTCGAATACATTGTTGGTTCCATGAACCATCATCATTCAACAAATCCTTCATTGTTGTAAGAGTTCCCTATTGTTTTTGGAACCGGAACGCCATTGGTAAGAGAGGGAATCCAGGGGTCATGAAAGGCTTTGATTTTGGAGCCATCTCTTAGCAGCCATAAAAGAGTGGAGCTATTTTTCCTTTTGGGGGGCTTCGAAAATGCTCTTACTATGCAAATATTTATTTTTAATAATTTGACTCCACAAAGTGTTTGAAGTGAGCAATCTCCATATTTGTTCACAAAATAAGGCTTGATTCCTTTGGAGGCTGTGACTTGATCCGAGTTCCCCTCTGGGAGAATGACCGTTCAGCCTAGGGTCAAAATTCATAAGCCCAAAGTACAATTAGGGTAGGTGCCAGCTTGGAATTGATGCTAATTCATGGGTGGGTATGAATGCATAGAGTATGGGTTTTTGACCTTTTGAATGTTGATAGATTTGCAGGGGAATTCAAAAATCTGCATTAAGCCTATTCATACTTTTCCGTCCCCCTAATTTTTTCTATGGAATTGTATGCCTTACTCCATTCTTGTAATTGTGCCACTAGTAGGCATTTATAGCTCCCTCATTATGTTGTATAAAATTTTAAGCGTTGAGGGTTAAGCATGCACCACGTGGAGTTCTTTATATATAGAACTCAAACATTCACGTGTTGTGTTATATATATATATATTTAAATAAGGGGGAGGTCTTTATATTTTACCCTTAAATTTAAATTCAAATTATGTATAGAATATAAAAATATATTAGTTTTTCAAGCCATCAAACCAGTGTAAATTTATCAAATATTTTAGCCAAATTGAACTCAAAATGAAAAATATAATTCAAATTAAATTCAAACTCAAACTCGAAATGTAGGAATATTTTAATCAAATTAAACTAAAGCCCTATTCGCTTTTTGGTAAGTTACTTACCCTGGTAATTGTTTCCTAGGAAGGACTTACCTGAGTAAGTGCATTTACCCATGTTCTTTTATCTCCCGTGTAAATAAGGCAATAATCATTTTAGCCATAAAAATCCATTATTAAAGGGGGCATTTTTGTCCCATTAAAATGTTGGCAATTTTCCCTCAGGTGGGAAAGTTATTTACCCACTAAGGAGATGGGTATTATTTACCTGAATAAACTTTTCCTATTCTTCACATAAATCTGAAAAAAGAACATGTGATTCTTGGTTAATGGGAATCAAAATCCCATTGACCAACTTCTCCCTTCTCAAAATCCCCTAATAATAGCTCTATTCATTCTGCATGAATGTAACAAAAAAAAAAGGAAAGTTCCTGAATGTAACAAAATACCCTACACTTTGTGCCTATTGTAATTTTGACCCCAAACTTTAAAATGTGACAATTCAGTACTTGAACTTTCAAAACATGACAATCCAGTACCTGCCATTAATTAGCAATTAACCCGTTGTTAAGTGACATTTGAAAATGATACAAATGCCCTTTAAGTGTCATTTAATTTTTTTTATCAACCATCTAAACGTTTGAGTTGGCATTTTAATTTTTTTTGTCAATGTTTAGATAGTTGATAAAGAAGATTAAATGACATTTAAATGATATTTGTATTTTTTTAAAATGTCACTTAATGGCTGATTAACGGTTAGTTAACATAATATACTGAATTGTCTCGTTTTGAAGTTTGGGTGGTGAATTATAGCATTTTAAAATTTGGGGACCACACACTATACCCAAAGTATGTATCGGAAAATTTTCCAAAAAAAACTGCTTCAATAAAAAAAAAGCTTTAAAATAAAGCATTTATTAAACCATAAGAATCAGGATCTTTTAAAACACCCTCAATTCGTATAGATAAAGTTCTTTCCGAAACGGCTCAGTCAATGCAGCTCAATGTACGGGGCGAATTCTGTTTTTGTCCCTCTCAAACGGAAAGTTGACTATACTTCAGCTATTCGTTTTTGTCTTTTTGATATTTGTACTTCAGCGGTTCAGCCATTCAGCTTCAGCAGGACTCTCTGATTTCAGTGGGACGAAAATACTATGACGTTGCTGCCTGCCGCATTTTTACGTAAGCACTTTTCTCGAAAATACTAAAATAGCTGCGGGGAAAATCATGAATATTGTAAAATTCATGGTGTTTTACAAAAGTTTCCAGAAAGTGCAGACGAAAGGAAACTTTTGGTTATGGGGTCTTTGGACTCTAGGTGGAGGGAATGGAATCTGCTTCTTTCTTGCGTTTCAGGCGTGTCGTGTGACAGATTCTGTCTGCAAGACGCAATCCCATAGCAAGCTCTCTTCGTTCTCTCCGTAGAATCCAATTTCTGCAACAAACACTCTCTCTTTGATCTCCGTCCGTCGCTCAACATGGTAAGTGATTCTCTTTTTCCGTTTTTTCAGCTTTGTGTTCTTTTAATCAGGAAATAGTATGTAAATCACCAACTATTATAGGAAATTAGGGATTTTTGCTATTCGTAAATGAAGAATCAGTTAAGCTGTTGCATATTTGGGTTTTTCTGCAATGATTTTTTTGATGATTGAATGACCAAAACTTCATGGTTGAGCTTGACTTTCTGGGTTTTTGATAGTGAACACTGATTGGTGGTATTCTGAGAACGGGTTTATAAGAGGGGGTGAATTGTTTTTTTTTTTTTGAAGATAAAATAAAATTTAATTAGAGGAGGGTGAATTGCAATGGTTGTTTGGCCTACAAGACGAGTTCTTTGAGTGTTGGTGCCTGGTGGTTTATTTGGAAGTTGTATTAGTTTTGAATAGGGCGATCTTTTCCTAGTTTGATGACAGTGGTCTTTATCTGAGTGTAGGTGCAGGAACTTTTTTGGGTGGTGCTTGGGTGCTAGGTGATTTTCCATGTTTGCACTTGAATTAGAGAATGGAGATAATTGTAGTCTTAATGTGACTTGATATGCTGAAAATGTTGATATGTGTTGTTCGTTGCTGGTACATTATGGGGGAAGTGCACATGTGTTGTCATTCTTGGGATTCCTGGGAATCCAATAAAGGTATTTTTTTTTTTTTTGCAGTGTTTTGGTTATACCGAGCTTCATGTTGCTTTTGTAGGAATAGATTGTGCAAGCAGGAAGTTTTCTATAGGAACTTTATTCATTTGTTGTATTTAACAAAGAATCCATCTGAAACAGTTGGGCCTTTTCTGTTTTAGTTCTTATGCTCTGTAAGTCATTTGTGTAACAGTAAGTACTGTTTATTGCCCTTCATCTAGCTAAGAGGCAGAGATGTATCTAATTTTCGGTTCCTATAATCTCAATGAAAGTGTGTTTGGTATTTTCGATGGTAAAAAAACCTGTAGGCTGTGGCATTACTTCCTCAATTCCTGCTTTCTGGAATGAATCAATAAAAAGAAGACCAGATAGTTGAAAGATAAAGTGCAGAAAAGAAAAGGCATTTGGGATGTTTGTACAGTTTATAATTAAATGGAAATAGACAAAGCACCAGAAGATGTTGATATATATGTACATTTTGCATACTAGTAAGTAGTAAGTGTGCACGTGCTTTGCACATGACAGTTTTATTATCACATGCTTTGCACATGATGATGATAGTAAAGTATATTTTTCCAAAATTTTCTACATTTTTTTATATTTCTATGTCTATAAAAATTATTCTTATTTGCCACACTTATTTTTGTTTAATACGATGAATATACGATATTAGAGATGTGCCCAAATGTTTTCTACAATTTTTTTTTTTGTATTTTTTATACTTTTGTGTGTTTCATCTTTCTTATTCCCTTTTTATTATTATTTAATTATGACATCAAGGGTTTACGTATTTGACCCAAAAAGGTTGAATTGTTGACTTGCAACCAACCAGGAAAAAAACTCCATTTCTGTGTTGGTTTTAAATTTGTATTTTATTTCTATCACCAATAAAGACAATTATTCTTTGTCACACTTATTTTTTTTTTTGATATGGTTAATTAGTATAGGATTCAATGAAAAAATGAGAGTTAATACCTTAAATATAAGACTTAATGAGAGGGAGTTGAATGAAGAGAAATGTAATAGTTCAAATTACATTTTGTGCCCTCACAATTAGAGAGGGACCATATTCAAAAAGGGGTGTTGTAGTCAAGAATAGGATTCAATGAATGTTAATAGGAGTTAATACCTTAAATATAAGACTTAATGAGAGGGATTTGAATAAAGAGAAACATGGTTGTTCAAATTACATTTTTGTCCTTACAATTAGAGAGCAATCAAATTCAAACATTGGGGTATTTTAGTCAAACAAAAGTTCCACACTCTTATCTACCAAACATATTTGTTAGCATTTTGTACATTCAAGAACAATCTTATCTACAGTAGGAGCTCTAAATGAAGTCCATTCCTTAAAATAAGTTTGGATACTCTTACATTTGAAATGTTTTATTTCTTTTAATGTTCTTTCTGTTTTTTGTGTAACCGGTCCTATAAAACAAAAAGTTCATTGAAATGCACGTCCACATCTAGCACCACATGTGAAGAGTTGATTTTTGATATTGTGATTTTGGGATGCTTACCAATGCAGAGATTCTACTTGCCTTGGAATGAAATTGTGGGTCTGGCACCAATTATTGATTTTATTTGCTGTATGTTTCTAAAGTAAACATGACATAGAGCATCATTGGTATGACTTCACATGGAAGTTCTTTAGGTGACTATAGAGTGAGTTAGCACCCAACCAAAGTTGGTGGCCGAGTCTGTGTTTGTTCTCCCATCTTGAACTTATTTCCTATCAGAGCAAACTAATTAATATAAACCATTTATCAAATTGTCCTCTTTGTTACTTGTCTCTTAGCCATGAATTTCAGAAAATAAATATTCCGCAACTTTTTTCCTGTTTTAGAATTGGAAATTTATAAATAATAACCTGTAACTTCTTGTAGTTTAGTGTGTTCTGAGTGGCTGTCTTTTCTTGTCATATGCAGGCCAATAGGCATACCATTATTTTGATGCAGACATCTCAGAACAGAGCAACAAGAACATTTATGGATTATGAATCGATAAGCCAAGCCATGGGTGGTATCAAATATCATTCTTTGAACTATATCCTTGTATATATGTTCAAAATATTAAGAGCTTATAAATACCATGATTACCAAACTGAACATTTATGGATTATGAATCAATAAGGTGGTCATAGTGTTTTAAAAGGCACTCCTAGGCTCACAGGTAAGGCTCATTTGTGGGGTGTAGAGAACACTGATGTGGGCCCCACAGCTGTGGTCCCCACTGTGTTCGTAGGACAATATGTGCAATTATTTGTTTCAGTCATGTTAGTGTTAGTTGGTGGTCAGCGTGTTATTTCAGTTGTTATTTATTTCAGTTTGTTATTTGCTTTATTTGTCATGTAAGTATTAAGGGCAGATCTGTCATTTCCTCTATGTACTGAACATAACCTATAAATACTAAGAGAGTGGCGGCGGTAGATCAATTTAGAATCTGTCCCTCCTTTCAAACCTTTGTGTTCTCCTGTTCTTATCCTCTCTTTTCTTCTTTTCCTTACTTTTCTTCTACCTTTCCTAATTTGAAATCCATTAGGATTCAAGGCTGATTGTAGTCTTGATCGCCTACTTGGTATCAGAGCCTATCTAGGGTTACTCATGTGAGTCTAGTCTAGCCGACCACATGAGAAATATCTAGGGCTGGAAGTTTATAAAGAAGTGCTCGTTGGCTGATTCTTGGAGGTTATCAAAAGAGTTTAGCAGCTGTTCGAAGACTTGGCACGGCTTGTAGAGTGTTGGTAATCAGGAAGAATCAGAGAAGGCTAGGGTTCAGGCAACGTTGGAAGGTAGCGAACAGAATTCTCTAGGTAAGTCTTATTTATTTTCTAGAGATTGCTATCAGTCAAGATAGGTTGGACCTATCTAGAAGGAGTGACCGAACTGTTTTTAGGGTTTTCTCTCAGAGGTGATCTATTCTAGGGTTTCACATTGACCCTATGGCAAGACCTAACTGTGAACCCCTTGGAAAGTGTGGCTGAGCACTTATTTCAGACCTACGATTAAAACCCTAATTCTGTTCCAGCATCTCAGATTGCTCTCTAAACTGGTTTCAGACCTGTCTCTTGGTTCCGAGCTCTTTTAGGGGGTGAAAACTTGTACGGACTGCTTGGTACTGTGATTGCCGATTGGTTTCAGATCAGATTTA